TGTTGTTGGTCGGCTCACATGTACTCTTGTCCGGCTTCGGGAATCAGTCCGTTTCTCTGACTGGGACTGACATTCCCCTTCAGCGGTAGAACATTCCTCCAGTACTTCTGTCTTCACCCGAGTTGTTTCCAGGGCTGTTGGGTTCTTACCGTCCAACGTCATGAATTGTGAAGCAATGCAAGAAAAAATGACACCATTGCTTCTGCACTGCGCCTCGGCAACGGCAAACACATCACCATTCACCTCAACAAGACTGGGAACATAGAGCGAACTCACTGTTTCTCCTTTCGCATCTCTCCACCCGAAAGATGAACTCGGTGAAGATTCCTGACCTGGCGCTTTCTCCGCGAGTGCAGCTCCACCACTGCCGCAGCAAATCATCACGACGAGGAGGAGCAGCACCGCGGAAGTAAACACACGCCGGGACATGTTGGGCCTCTGCGGCTCACTCTCTCTTCCTTCCCTCCTCCTTCCGCTGGATCCGGTCACGCGGCGACGGTTGCGTGTGCGGGGTGCCTTCACAGCAGCAACACGTGAGAGCACATCAATATGTGTGTGGGCGGTGTGTGTGCTGTTGGTCCTTTCAGTGCCTTCAAATTTCACAGTAGCGTTTAGCGCTTGTTTGCTTTCTTTCCTAACGTGTCTGTTTACAAGAATTGGAGAGTACAGCAGCAACAGCGGCAATACACCAGAAAGGTCAGTGAGGAGCAGAGCACCCACGCAGAGAGCGAGTCATAAGACAATCCGGAAGGGACGGCACGGAGGATCATCGCCCACAGAAAAAGGCAGCAACACGGCAAGTCACGGCGGGCCGTCGGTGTGTGCGGGCCAGCCCTCCCGCGGTGCAACACGCCTCACACCCAACAGGGAATGACAGACAGACAGACAGACAAAAATAAATGGATGCCGTCAGGACGCACTCACGATCAACATGGCCCGTGAGTATGCGGCCACCCCACGCAGGAACACAGGAGGAGAGAATGAGAGGGGGAAAGCAAGAAGCAGCACAACACACATAAAGGAAACAAACGACAGGCAGGAAAAGCACCGCCACGGCCCTCACCCTGGCCGGCAACTCCACACCAGCCCTCACACACACACACACTGCCGCCACCGCCTCCAGTTCAGTCCCACGGGCAACGGGATACGGCCACAGCCCCGCAGTCAACACACAACACACACCGAGCAAACAATCACCCAAGGAGCCACACACGGAGGTGATTCCTCATCCACCCATGACGCGGCGCCTCACTCCATGCGGTCACACGGAGTGCACCATTTCCTCAATAGAACTTATTCGTCGTCCATCCCTTTGAGATGCTTCTGTTAGTGATGGGCCTTAAAACACAATAAAAGGAAATGGACAATGCAGTATTACTGCAACACCACCAGCCACAATGATTCCCTCATAGCGGGGCGATTCTCCAATTATCCCTCGCACACACACACACACACACACACACACACACGTATCAAAAAATATATAAATCCCACAATAATTTTTTTACCAGAAGTCACAGCTGCCCCTTTCCCTCCCTAATTTATTTTCCTGTTTCGGTGGTCCTTCCACACTTCGGTGAGCTTCTTCTCTTCTAAATTCTCCGGATGATATTGACACTTGGTACTGGCGCTCCTTTTCCTTCCAAAACGCCGCTATTTCACGGCTTTCATCATTGCCCACACTCTTGGGATTGACGGCACCACATCTCTGCCAGCCATTTATCGCCGTGCTGTCTGCGTGCTGCACGTAAATAATCTCCCACGACAATCCTTGAGCAAATTCCTCCCAATCATTAAAATATGCCGCCAGGCACTCAGTGAACAGCCTCACAGTGCTGGCTGTGGTGTGGTGCTCACCCGCCGTAGTCATCCGCAGCCCAACCAGCGTCATTGGATCCGACTCCATAAAGAAAAAAAGCCGTCCACCAGCGGAAAGTTCTTCGTCTCCGGTGTGTACAGCACCCCGTACTTGATATTATTATTTTTATGGTATTCCATTGTGACCAATCCACATATAACTCGGTGGGGTGCCCTTCAGGGTTCGCCTTCAGCACCGAGTACTCTCCTCCACGAAGTGCTGGTGGCCTCGGCTTCCTGGGTTCCTCTACTAATGCACTGACAGACTCCCCCAAACTTAAACGCGCACAAGCCAAACCTTCCCGTACCTTCGGACAAAATAGTTTCCCTCTTCCCCAGTACTAGCAACATAAAAAAAATATCTTTCTCACCCATCACGTTTGCCAAAATAGTGCGGTATTCGACGCCCGAGGCACAAATATATCGGTGCGTTAGGAAATCCCTCAGCACCGACTTCTCCTCTTGCTCGGACAACACCCACGAGCTTTTGAGACGGATTCTCAGAATACCATAGTCTCACTCCCCGATGTATGAAGTGCTTTTCGCCATCCCGGGACTTGATCCCGTCCAAGGCATCCTCAATGGCAGCACCGTGTGCAATGGACTCATTCGCATCAAAAACGTAACGTGGGACCGGTCCCGTATAATACATTTGTTCTTTGACCATCTTCCAGTATTCCGCTTGCTCATCTCTAATCCCATCGCGCTTCATCCATGCACACATCGCCTTCATATCCATCCCGTCTGGGCAATTCACGATGATTCGCTCGGCGTTTGATTGCCTAATCCATTTACCATAGTTGCGCTCGTTTGACGATGCCACCACAACCATGACCCATCTATCATAACGCAAAAAATAACTTGCTGGCGGTGCCACTTTCTCCGTCACATCGTAGATAACATACCCTTTCATCCCACGCCGCCATAAATTACAAAAAAATTCCTTGGATGCTTCACCACCAACGTATCTTGCCACCGTTTTGACGGTCTTTTCAAACACGTACGTCGTACTTCCACCAAAACTGTGCGCAACCACTTGGAGTTTCTCGGCATCGCAGTGCAGCAGCTGGTGGAGAGGGTACGAACCGGCAGCCATCAAATTCCCGATCCCGGGCGTCCCAATCAACACACGTCGCCTAGGCTCAAAGTAGGTCCCAGGGTGAGTGCTGAGCAATTCGGTTAGATCATTCCTGACGGTCTGCCACACTCGCTCCACCTCACAGTTCACATGGCAGTCACGAGCAAATTTATTCTCCTTCCACGAGTACGGCCATCCCATTCCGAGGTGAGCACCATCAGCCTGAGACGCTTTGCACCGGATTACTCCACACCGTCATCCTTTTCGAGGGATTCGCCAACTGCCTTGTACGTCCATGGCTGCGGTGGTTCCCCTTCCCTCACTTCATTCCCGTCCCCTCGCCGCCAGGACTTCCACGACACAATGCCACCCCGCATTGTACACAGACTCGGAGCATCCCTTCAGGTATATCGGTGCGCTCGACGTCGTTGGGTCCCTTGCTTCCTCGACGGCTACACCCAGAAACCCTTTAGCGACGTCATGAACACTTGCCTTTACCTCTGCAGCAGCCAGCAACCACTTCAGTAGCTTATGCACACCATTTTTGTAAAGCTTGTGTACATCCTCATCGAAAACCATTTCATCCCTCACAGCTCGCTTCATACTCAAATAATGACCTGATGCCTGTATTTCGCCCAATACTCCGGCATCGCAAATATACTTCTTGGGGTTCTTTAAAAACTCCTCCATCGAGACATCCCGATTGGCGTCCACAACGCCCCTGCCGTCCAATTCCATCGTAAGAAAGTCATTCAGCTTCATTTTATCCACTTGAACTCTTCCTTTAAACACCGCATATTTAATACTAGTGGAAACGTCAATTCCCAGTTCTTGCCGTTCTCGCCTTGCCCTTTCCTCTGCTTTCCACCTCGCCTCTCTCAGTACATAAGAGTGGGCTGTGTTTATCTGTGCCCTTGCAAGAGGAGTGACCGTATCCTTTCCTTCAATGTCACTCCATTCTCTGAGAATAACAAAAAATCCTTTTGTAAGCTTATTTTAGCCCCCCAATAGCATGCACAACTCCTCACGCTCTTTTTTCAGCTCTTGGTACGGCGGCGATGCCTTTATTGTGCTCAATCACACTTCGTCCTGGATGAACTCATTGGGGCTAATAAAAAGTCCTTCATGTAGACGTTCTCATTGAATTCCTCAACGCCCCTGCCGTCAAAATAATTCCGAAGAAAATTATTCAGCCTCATGCTGGCGGTGCGTTCCTTTCCCTCCAGCAGTACTTTATCCAGCCAACTGTCAAGAGTCCACTTTGGCCGCTGCGTTTCCTCCACTCCTCTGCGAGTTGCAGCGTCGGAAGCATCGCCCGAGCCGCGGCAATGCGTCATCGCAACACCCGTGCGGTGAAGCATCCCACTCGCACCGCCCAACTGCGGCCAGCAGGTGCCGCTGGCTCCAAAGGACACTCGCGGCTGCTTCGGTCCCGCAGTCCCAATGGCGTTGGGCGGGGCACTCGAACG